CGGCCGGGTCCCGCATGCGCCGGGCCCGCGCGCGTGGCGCGCTGCTCTCCCTCGGCGAGCGGAGCCGCGGGGCGTCCGGGCCGGAGCGAGGGGGCGCGCTCGCCGCTGCGTGGCGGACCCCGGCGGGGGACGGGGCCGCCTCCGGGCTTGCCCGCCCGCCCGCGGGACGCAGCGTCTCCGGCGCGCTCGGGATGGTCCGCCGCGCCCTGGGCGGTTTCCCGCCGGCGGGAACTCGGAGGCCCGCTTCCAGCTGGGCAGACACCGGGGGTGGCGCGTCGCGTCGCGTCGCTTGCCTGGGCGAGCGAGACGGAGGGGCTGAGGCGCCCCGCCCCCGGAGCCTGCCCTTGCCGGTGAGCCTGGCGCCGAGTGCACGCGCCTCGGGCCGGACGGCGCCCCTTGGGCGAGGGTTGGAGGGGGGATTCTAGCGCTGTCCAGCAGCTCCTCGCAAGGCCAAGGCGACTGCGCACAAACGGTGCCCTCCACACATACCCACTTGCGCCCATCGCATTTAGACTCGCACGCACCCGTGCGCGTGCACACACCTGTCCTAAGTCACTGCGTCTAGGTACCCCGGGACACCCCCAGAAGGAGGGGTGCGGGTGTGAGAACCCGCTTTGGCAGGATGCCTCATGGCTTGGGAGGCCCCCCCAATCTCTGGCTTCCCTTTTTGCCGGCTGCAGGGAGATGGCTGGACGCCGGACGCTGGTGGGGCTGCTGCTGGCCTTGGCGGCCGTGGCTGCCAAGGAGTCCAAGCTGAACGTCTGCATGGATGCCAAGCATCACAAGATACAGCCTGGGCCGGAGGACAACCTGCACCAACAGGTACCGAGAGGCGACGGGGTGGGGGGGGGGACATCCTTGACTTGGTCTTGACCAATAGGGAGGAGCTGATAGATGAAGTACAGATTAGGGGAGCTCTGGATGCGAGTGATCACTCCATCCTTTGCTTGGAGATCAGGGGACTGCGGACGGGCAGCAGGTCGAGCACTAGAAGCTGGGACTTTGGAAGGCCAGGCTGGGGAAGGTCTCCTGGGATGGGTTACTGGAAGGCAAGGGAGTTGAGGAGGGGTGGATGGCACTCAAAAGGGAGGTTTTGGAGGCGCAAGCCTTGACGATACCTCTAGTCAGTAAGGTGGGGAGGTGGAGGAGAGGCCGCCATGGATGCGAAAGGAGCTGGTTAGAGGGACTAGACACTAGAGGAGCCTCCGTAGGAAACGGGTACTGGGGCAAATAGACAAAAGGGTGTACCAGGAGGAGGAGGCCCGTTGCAGAAGGATTCTACACAAGGCTAAGGCGGATGACGAGCTGAGACTTGCCAAGAATATCAAGAGCAACAAAAAGGGCTTCTTTCAGCATGTAAATAGGAAGAGGAAGGGGAGACAAGCGGTGGGATCACTAAATAAGGAGGAGGGAGATCTAGTGACTGATATGAGGGAACAGGCACAGATGCTAAATGACTATTTTGCCTCTGTGTTCTCCCCAAAGCAGGACGGGGGGAGGGATCCGCATAGGAGATGAGATGAGGCTGGGGACTTAGGGGCACAGATTAGAGTCACCCCCCTAGAAGTCGAGGGGCTCCTCAGGGCATTGGACATTACAAAGGCGCCAGGCCCTGACGGTTACACCCGAGAGTACTTAGAGAGTTGGCAGGGGCTCTCTCACGCCCGCTGGCCTCCATTTTTGAGACCTCGTGGAGAACGGGTGAAGTTTCAGAGGACTGGAGGGTGGCATCAGTGGTCCCAATTTTCAAAAAGGGTAGTAGAAGGGACATGGGGAATTACAGACCTGTTAGCCTTATGTCCATTGTAGGAAAAACAATGGAAAGGCTCATAATAGAGAGAGAGATCTAGTGATGCTAGATAGGGGAGGGAGGCTGGCGGCCACACAACACGGCTTCCCCAAAAACAGGTCCTGCCAGACAAACCTGGTGGAATTCCATGACAAGGTTTTGAGGTGGCTGGATGGAGGGGATGCAGTGGATGTGGGTTACCTGGATTTCAGCAAGGCTTTTGACAAAGTGCCCCATGATATCCTGGTGGAGAAAATGAGGAGTTTTGGGATACACCAAAGCACTTTCTGGTGGATTAGGGCATGGTTGACTGACCAAAAGCAGAAGATAACCATTAGCGGGGAATCATCGGGATGGCGGCCAGTGACAAGCGGGGTCCCCCAGGGCTCTGTCCTGGGGCCGATCCTGTTTAATCTTTTCATCAACCACATGGAAGAAGGGGTGAACAGTCTGCTGATCAAATTTGCAGATGATACTAAAACTGGAGCAGTGACCATAACTGAGGAGCAGGTACTCCAGATCCAAAAGGATCTGGACAGACTATGGAAGTGGGCAGGAGACAACAGGATGGCGTTCAATGCAGATAAGTGCAAGGTCTTGCACTTGGGGCATAGGAATGGGTGTCATAAGTACAGGTTAGGTGACAAGTGGCTGGAGAGCAGCACTTGTGAAAGGGGCCTCGGGGTGCTGGTTGACTGCAGGCTGAACATGAGTCAGCTGTGTGACGCGGTGGTCAAGAGGGTGAACGCCACCCTTGGTTGCATAGCCAGAAGCGTGGCTTCTAGAGCGAGAGAGGTATTACTGCCACTCTACACGACTCTGGTGCGCCCACAGCTGGAGTAATGTGTTCAGTTTTGGGCCCCTCATTACAGAAAGGATATAGCCAGGTTGGAGCCAGTGCAGCGAAGGGCCACACGGTTGGTGGCTAGTTTGCAGGGGATGCTGTATGAGGCAAGGCTGAGGGAACTGGGTCTTTTTAGCCTGGAGAAGAGGAGACTCAGAGGGGATCTGTTGGCAACTTACAGGTATGTGAGGGGGTGTCACACGGAGGTGGGTAGAGACCTGTTCTCTCCTGCAGAGGAAGGCAGGAAGTGCTCCAATGGAGCAATGCTCAGGGAGCCAAGATTCAATTTGGATGCCAGGAAGCACTTCCTGACAGTCAGGACCCCGAGGGTGTGGAATGGGCTTCCACGGGAGGTGGTTGAGGCCCCATCGGTGCGGGTGTTCAAGGACAGGCTGGACGTCCACATGGTGGGCATGTCATGAGCAGAGCCGGCTGGAGCCGGAGGTCAGACTAGATGGCCCAGGGGACCCCTTCTGACTCGCTCTGTTTCTATGTACCGATGCCCCAGTGCGGCTTATGGGCTGCTTTGGGGGAAGCGACGGAAGTGCATCTGCAAGGCACGCCCCCACCCCCCCACCCCCGAGCACGGTTGGGACAGCGCCTGCCTGCTGGAGGCTGCCCCTGTCCATCCGCAGAAGGGGGAGCTGCAGGCCGCTGGGCGACAGGGCCAGCCCCCCAGTGCTGCCTCCGCAAGGCAGAGGACTGGCCCCACGCGCCCCGCTCGGTCCCCCTTTCCCAGCGTGTGGGGCAGCAAGGAAGGTTTAGCCACTTCCCCCCAACGTGGCACCCCCAGATGTGTTGCACTACAGCTCCCATCACCCCCACTCCAAGTGCCCAAGCTGGCCGGATGTGATGGGAGTTGTGGCTAGCGCATCCGAGGGCGCCCGCTTGGGGAAGGCCAAGCGCCGCTTCTTCACATGGGGGCGGCGGCAGCAGCTGCGTGTTGCAGGCAGCTCCGCTGAGGTCAGGAAACCTGGAGATCTTTGCTCCTCCTGTTTCTGATAAATCAGATTTAAGCGGACGGCCAGTGAGACTCTCTGGGCATAAGACGGCCTGGCTGGGCGCCTTGGCTCCCTCCAGCTCCACTGTTCTGGGATGCTAAGGCAGGTTTTTTCCTGATAGAAGCGGCTGAGAGGCAGTCCTTAAACGTTCCCGCCAAGGGAGCATCGTCAGGTTCTGTTCTGCTTTCGTTATTAAAACGCCTCTACCGCTAAGCGCTTCAGTGGGGCGAAGGTAGGAGGTCTTTGCTGCTGGGAGTCGCTCTTAGACTGGAACAGGCCGTTCCCCAAGCGGGATGGAAAAAGGAGCCTTTAGTAAGTCAGAACGCAAAACATCACGTTGCCTGGAGTTCATCAACAAGCGAGGCCGACGGCCCTTTGCCGCCTCCTGCTGACCTCAGCGGCCGTGAGTTTTAACAAGTGTGCCAAGTGGCTCAGTTCACCATTCTCAGCTGAACTGCAGGCCTGTGAAAAGTTCCAAAGGACAGATATGTATTTAATTGAAGAGTTCAATAGGCTATGGGACGGCCTACAGATGTGAGAGAGAAATACATCAAGTTATGCAATCGCCACCCTGTTAGCATTATGCACTCTGGGTGGCTCTCACAGTGACAGTGACAGTACAGCTTAAAAGTTACAGATAATCACAGGAAGACAGGGTATATGCAAGCAATTGCACGTTAATTAATGCAGTTGAAAGCAGTGCCTTTGCTGCCGTGCGCGAGGGGAGGCGGGGCAGAGGGGGCCACGGTGGTCGCTTGGCACCCGCCTGCTTCAGCATAGCCCCGGGAGAGAGCGGCAGCTCCCCGCTCGAAGCAGCCTCCCCGCGGGAGGGGAGGGGAGGGGGGGCGAGGGGGAGGCGCGGGGCGTTGCCAGGGCTTGGCCGCCCCCAAAGTGGCACCCCGGCGTGGCAGCTCTGTTCCTCGGTGCCCCTCGCCCGCTGCGGCTCGAAGGTGCCGCCCACGGCGTGGCTGGTTCTGGCGCACCTTTCCCAAGCCTCTCGCCAGCAGGCGAGCTGGGGGGGCCGGGGGCCAAAGCCGCTGCGAAGGAAGGCCCCGTGGCCGCATGGAGACAGGTCCTTGTGCGTGGCCAGGGGGGCCGGAGGTTGCTCCTGGCACAGCGCCCTCCGGCTCTCTGCCTCCAGAGGAGCGGCAGCCTGTTTCCTGGGGGTCGGCGGCTGGGGCAGGCGGCTCAGAAGCGGCTCTTGAGAAACTGCCAGCTGGACACTTGGCGGAGGAGGTGGGCTCGGCTCAAACGGCAAGAGCTTAGGGCTGACGAAGCGGCTTTGGCAGCCTCCGCAGGGAACAGAGAGGGAGCGGGGCGGCTGGGCCAGGAAAGTGTCCGTGGGGGGCGGGACGGGGCTGTTCCGCTGCAGGGCCTGGCAAGCTGCGGCACAGCCTGGGGGGCCTGTGGCGAGGCAGCCTTCCCCAGCCCGGTGCCCCCAGATCCGTGGGGGTGCAATGGCAGCCTCCCAGCCCAGCACACCGGCGGCAGGCCACCCTAGCGGGCCCGTTGCCGGGGCGTGTGCCGTCCCTCATGCGCGTCCCCCCCCCGCCACAGTGCACCCCATGGAAGACCAATGCCTGCTGCACCGCCAACACCAGCCACGCGGCCCACCAGGACGTGTCCTACCTGTACAACTTCAACTGGAACCACTGCGGCACCATGTCGGAGAAGTGCAAGCGCCACTTCATCCAGGACACCTGCCTGTACGAATGCTCGCCCAACCTGGGGCCGTGGATCAAGAAGGTGGGCAGCGGGGCCCTGCTGGGGAACCGGGCAGGGCCGACTGGCCTCCGGGGGCCCGGCCTCTCCGGATCCCGGGTGGGGAGACGGTTTGATGACGAGTCCGTGGAGGAAGGCTCCCGGAGGACCCCTGTCCGCACGACGGGCCTGGGATGGGGGCAGAGCTAGCCCAGCCGTTGTCACCCCAGTGGTCCCCAAACGCACCTGACTGCGGCTCCCAGGGTTCCCAGCAAGCATGCCAGTGGGAGGAGGCCCCCTGCAGGCCGGCTGCTCTGCCTCAGCCAAGCCTCATCCTTGTCTTTCTCGGACAAGCCCAGATCTGTAAATGGTTAATTAAAACCTGATGGGAAGAAGGCAGGATATGGAGGAAGCTGAGAACGGTTCTGCTGCAGGCCAAGCGATCCCAGCAGAACATGCAGCGCCTGCCTGCCTTTCCGCGCGCTCGGAGCGTCGCCCCGCACACGCTGACATGGCGGCTGCCCTGCAGCGCCAGCACCTGCTCCGCCAGCTGTGCCGCGCTGCTTTCTGCCCCAGCACGCGCAGGAGCGGCCAGCAAATGGTTCGTTCGACCTTGGAAGTGCGTTCCCCAGCCTGGCGCCCACCAGAGTGCAGCTCGGGGCACTCCTGGCTCTGCGGGGGCCTTCCCAGCAGCAGCCGTCCGAAGCGGGCAGCAGTCACGGGGGCTGCAGAGCCGCCTCCAAGGCGAGGCTGCCGGGAGGGACAGCCGACGGGCGCGGCTGCCTCCAGGCGCCCGTGAGACCCGGCGGTCCCGGGCCACGCTTGCCTTCGTTCCTGGGCTCCGTCGGGAAAGAGGAGCCGCCGGAAGGGCGTTGCCGCCGTGGGGCGCAGCCCACCCCGGGGTGGAGGGGGCCCCTTCCCCCGCCGCCCACCCATGCGCCCGCCCCCCGGCATCTGCCCTCGCCCGCAGGTGGACCAGAGCTGGCGCAAGGAGAGGATCTTGTATGTGCCGCTGTGCATCGAGGACTGCGAGGCCTGGTGGGCGGACTGCCAGGACGACATGACCTGCAAGTCGAACTGGCACAAGGGCTGGGACTGGAGCTCAGGTCAGTTGCGCGGCGCCACTCCCTCCCTCCCTCCCTCTGCGCAGCGGTCCTGACGCGGCCAGCATCCGGCGCACAGGAGACCCCAGAGCTGCCCCTGAAGCGGGTGGGCCGCCTCCCGGGGTCAGGGCGGCCGTAGCTCCGCTGAGCCCTTTGCAAGGGGTCCCGGGAGCGCATGCAGCCACATCCCCTTTCTGTCTTGAGCCTGCGCACACAATCCCTTCTGCCCACCTCCGCAGTCTCCACGGGGGTCACGGAGGGAGAGCGAGCCCAGCTCAGCCTTCCCAGCAATGCTTACGGTGTGGGCTGTTCGTCCCCTGCCGCCGGCCCATCCGCCGGGCAGCGAGGCGGAGTGGGCAGAGATCCATGGGGATCCGCGGGCTGCCCGGGAGGTGGTCGGGTGCTCGGGCTGAGAGCAAAAGGCTCTCCGAGAGCAGAGCTGAGCAAAGGTGGCTGAGGTGACCCACCCGGGACGGGACTGCCCTGCCCTGCCCGAGAAGCCCGCACGGCCTGCTTTGGTTCGGGGATCTTGCATGCTCGGCTCACGACGCAGAGCTCACACCCGAAATGCCAACGGGGCTGCCGAAGGGGCTTGTGTTCAGCCCTTGCCCTCCTGTGGGCCAGGTCTGCACGACGTGCCCAGCCCCAGCGGCCCCTGGCAGTGGCAGGCTCCCGACAGACTGGTGCACTGAGCAAACCCGCGCAGGGAGACGGAGCCGCCTGGCTGCGGGGAGGGCAGGCGGTTACACCAGCCCGCCGAGTGTCCCTGCACCAGATCTTTTGCTCGGGAACTTACTGGGCCTTAGAGGGGCCTGTGGGCAACACGCCCCCACCCCGGACACAGACCCAGCCCTCCGGGGCATTAAAACAAGGCCAGGGGCCCTCGCCACATTTCTTCTGCATCATGCCGCTTTCCGCCCGAAGCCCCTGGCACAGCCAGGACGCGGCGGAGGGTGTGCGTTCACGGTGGGGCCTCGGGGGACTGCCGCCGCAGCCCTGCTCACTGCCGCTCTGAGGCGCACATGGCAAAGCTTGCGCAGGCGCCAGAGATGCTCTTCCCGCCGGCTCCCGGAGGCGGTCACGGCTCCGCTTCCAGGGCCGCAAGGGGGAGCCTGGTCCGTGCGGGTCCGGAGCACGGCGGTGGCGCCCCCTCGCCTCGCAGCGGCGGTGGCCGAGCCGCTCCCGGTGGGGGGCCCGGCCCGGCCCGGCCCGGCCCGGCCTCTGACGGGCGGTTCCTTCTCCGGCCCAGGCCAGAACCGGTGCCCCAAAGGCTCCACGTGCCAGTCCATGAAGCGGGTCTTCCCGACGCCCAAGGACCTGTGCGAGAAGATCTGGAGCAACTCCTACAAACACACCACGCTGACCAAGGACAGCGGGCGCTGCATCCAGATGTGGTTCGACGCCAGGCGAGGCAACCCCAACGACCGGGTGGCGCGCTACTACGCCGGGGGTGGGGGCCCCTCTGCCGCCTCCCCGTCGCCCCTGCTGCCGGCCCTGCTGCTGCCTGCACTCCTGCTCCGGCCGTGAGCGTCGCATGGCTGGGCTGGCTTTCTGCTGCTGAGACTTTGACCTTGCAATGCTGCTGCCAAAGTTTTTACCACAGGTTTTCTGCCCCCTCCGTCATGGGGGGGAACGCCCTAGTTTTCAGAGATGAGCCCTAGCTGGTTGCTGCGTGGGGACCCCTCCCTCCAGCACTCAACTCACTGCGGGGGGTCCCCACTCTGACCCCTTCTTTTCCGCCACTGTCAAACTCTGCTGGGCGGGGGGGGGCGTGATGGGGGGAGCGGCTGGTCCTCTGTGCCACATAATGGATGAAAGAATAAAAGGCTGGGTCCCAGTTCCTCCGTCCTTCATTTCCTTTCCTCTCTCCAAGCGGGAGTGTTAAAGACTGCAAGAGTCTTTCTGCCCAAGGGCCAAAGTCAGTCGCTGGGGAAAGTGGGAGGGGTCATCCAGGGAGCCCCAGTAGCCCCAAGGCAGGCCGGGCCCAACACTCCGAGTGTCTTGCAGGATGATGGAATTCAGGGAGGTGATGGGCAAGCGGCGCTTTGAACAGGAGGTGCCGATCCAGCCGCCTGGCCCCCAGAGGGCGGCCACCCATTCCCGGTGGCTTTTGCTGCGCAATGCAGGCTGCTGAGAAGGCCAGCAGGTGGTGCCAGACGGACTCTGCCTCCACTGGCCGCAACACAGAAGCCCCTGGGGGGCGGGGAGTCTTGAGCAGGAGGGTCTCCTCGTGCTGTGCCCAAAGGGACTCTGCTCTCCTCCCCGCGGTGCCCTGGGGCCAGCTGAGCAGAGAGCAGGGAAATCCTGCGGTGCCTGGACAGCCTCTTAGCCCCTGGCGTGCCACAGGCCGGGGTGCGGGGGAGAGTCTGGATGGCAGCGCTGCTTCTCCACTGGTGTTTTGGGATTCAGTATGGTAGCTTTCCGTGACCTGGCACCACTCTGATGCCCTGGACTACAACCCCCATCATTCCCATCCAAGGGAGATGGGAGCTGTAGTCCTTCCCACAGTTTTGGGAAGTCTGCAGTGGTGGGTCCCGACAGTGATACAGGGTGTGTATGAAGAGAGACTGACGGGGGCATTTCAAATGTACTTGGACTGCAGTGCTGTTAGTCACGAAGTCGTGCCCGGCCCATCGCAATCCTGTGGACAACGTCCCTCCAGGCCTTCCTGTCCTCCACCATCCCCGGAGTCCACCCAAGCCCACACCCACCGCCCCAGTGACCCCATCCAGCCACCTCATCCTCTGCCGTCCCCTCCTCCTTTTGCCCTCAATTGTTCCCAGCATGAGGCTCTTCTCCAGGGAGTCCTTCCTTCTCATTAGGTGGCCAAAGTATTTGAGCTTCATCTTCAGGACCTGGCCTTCTAAAGAGCAGTCAGGGTTGATCTCCTCTAGGACTGACCGGTTTGATCGCCTTGTGGTCCAAGGGACTCGCAGGAGTCTCCACCAGCACCACAATTCAAAGGCCTCAATCCTT